TGTCCACTCCCCTTACCCTGAATTAACTCCCCCAGCACTAGCGGGGTGCCCCGCCGCCCCCCGAGTTACCCACACAGCCCGTATGTCCAACCCCTCCAGCTCTGCGGGCGGCCCCGTCTCCCCGACCGACAACGAGCCCTCCCCGCTTACCCCGAATTAAGCACTCTGCAGTGCTGGGGGGGCGTTTCCCCCATGTGTCCGCTCCCCGAGTTACCCCGAATCAACCGCCCAGCACTAGCGGGGTCCCCCCTCCGCGCCCCCCGAGTTACCCACACAGCCCGTATGTCCAACCCCTCCAGCTCTGCGGGCGGCCCCGTCTCCCCGACCGACAACGAGCCCTCCCCGCTTACCCCGAATTAAGCACTCTGCAGTGCTGGGGGGGCGTTTCCCCCATGTGTCCGCTCCCCGAGTTACCCCGAATCAACCGCCCAGCACTAGCGGGGTCCCCCCTCCGCCCCCGTGTGTCCGCTCCCGGGGTTAACGCCTGGGGGTGAGCGGGGCGGTACCTCGGGGGTGAGCGGGGCGCAGTCGGGACCGGGTGCAGGGCCGGCGGCGGGGCAGGGCCCCTGGGCCAGCAGCAGCGGCGGCGCCACGTCCAGCAGCGGGTAGTTGACCAGCACCACCTTGCTGAAGTTGAACTTGTAGGTGAAGCGTTTGCCCTTGGTCTTGTGCAGGATGCGCTTGTTGTAGTAGTACCTGCGGCGGGGGGGAGGGGGAGGTCAGCCGGACCCTGGGTTTCCTGCCCCGGCCTGGCTCGGGGAGCCGGCTGGGGCCCTGCCCGGACGCCTGGGGTCGCTGAGAAGCGAGTGGAGCTAGGGGGCTGGGTGAGAACAGGGGGCTGGGAGCCCGGACGCCTGGGTTTCCTCCAGCCCCCGAGGGCAGTGCGGTGTGAGCCCCCCGGACGCCTGGGTCCTGTACCCAGCTCGGGGGTGGCTCGGGGCGAGGTCTGACATCCCGGGCATCCTGTCCCCTCCCCGCCCTTGCTGGGCCCTCACCCTAACCCAGAGCCGGCCCGGGGCCCGGGCACAGGACTCCTGGGTTCCTCTCCCGGCGGGGCTGGAGGAGGAGCTCCCGGGGCAGCCCCGGCCCGGCCCGGCCCGGGCCTCGGTTTCCCCGCTCACCGCAGCGCCCGGCTGAGCTTGTCGTAGTTCATGTGGGGCTTGCACTTGCGCACGCCCCACAGCCGCGCCACCTCGTCCGGGTCCTTGATGACGAACTCGCCGTAGTCGCCCTGCCAGGCGATGACCCCGCGGTACTCCTCCTTCTGCAGCAGCTCCCGGATGAAGTGCAGCTCCAGGATGAAGTGCCACAGCTGGATCTGCCGCGAGCCCGGGCTCGACTCCGGCTTGTAGGCCCAGTCCGGGAAGGCGAAGCCTGGGGGCAGCGGGGGGCCCGGGGTGGTGAGGAGTCCGGGGGCACCTGCGCCCCGGGGGTGGAGGCGTGGGGCCCGTGCGCCCTGCGTGGGGGAGACCTGGGGGTCCGTGCACCAAAGGCGTGGGGACGTGGGGTCCGGGCACCCTGGGCCGCGGGGACTTGGGGGGTCCCGTGCACCCAAGCATGGAGACCCAGGTGGAGGGCGGTGCGCTTAGGGAACTGGAGACGTGGCGCCCGGGCGCCCTGGAGCACGGGGAGTGGGGAAGACTCAGCGCCCCGTGGGAGAAGAGTCCCGAGACCGTGGGGGATGTGGGGCCAGGGCACCCTACCATGTGGAGCAGGGGGGGGACTCCGCGCCCGGGGTGATAGAGACGTGGGGCCCGGGCACTCCCCGTGCGGTAGCCGCGGGGGTCCCGTGGGGACGCGGGGGGGAGGTGTCATGCACCCGGGGAGATGCAGATGCGGGGTCCGTGAGTCCCGGGCTGTGGGGAGCGGAGAGCGGGGCGCGGGGATCCGTGCACCAAGCGCGTGGAGACACGGGGGCCCGGAGGGAGGGCGTCCCTGAGCCGCGTGGGGCCCAGGGCTCCGTGCGGGGACGC